TTCATTGACTTCAACATAGCAAAAAGACAGCATATAATTATAGAGGTAATTTTTTTTATTTACCATTGTAAAAATGGTATTCTGCTTTTCTGTTTATGGAGAATCACAATGCAAGGTGGCCATTTTTTTATACAATTAGCTGCTACTTTTACAATTCTTTTCATACAGAATGTTCAGCCTCTTAGAAATGCCTTTGGTATTATGATGGCAGCAGCGAAACCAAAGCGGATGTTGCCAGAAAAACAGCCAGTAGAAAGGAAAATTGGCTTGCTAAAAATGCGGAATGACAAGGTGGACTGGTTATATTCACTCTCTCTTGGATGGATGAACGGAAATGCGAATACCACTGGGAAGGGGTTTATCTACACTCTTACTAGTGTGTAATATAGTATGTACACTATAGGGTATTTCTGTTTGTGTTACATTGCTTTTTTCAATAAAACATCAATAATTTCCATACTGTACCATGTGTGTTTCATTTGTTGTCATGTCCTCTGGGTGCTTTACTGTACGACTCTTTGTTTGTATGACTGTATGCACTACTATCAAGACAATCAGATTCGTTTTTATGTATTTTATGAAGCGCGAAAAAAAAAAACAAATAACAAATAACAAGTGCCTCCCTCACCAACTTTTTGAAAAACCCTGGACGAGAAACAAGTATTTTTTTGTTATTTGGCCTTATGGGGATCAACCCCACTTTGTCTAGGTTAATAATTTATTGGCTCTCTCTTTCAAAGCAGAGGAACACTCTCACGCAGGAGAGGTTCGACCATACAATGGAACAAAAGTTACAAGTAAAGATAAAATTCATAAAAAAGAGACAATAGTAATGAAAAATCCAAATCCAATTAAAAATAATATAATTCTAAAGTTTAAAATCTTAACTAAAACGGGAAAAAAAAAAAAAGAAAAAAAAAAGTAATAAAATAAAGTAAATAAAAATAGATAAATAAATAAAAACAAGCACATAATATAATAAATGCAATGTGAAATTGATGTAAAAGCATACATATCAAAAACACAACAGAAATAGTCAATGTCTATTCATAAAATCATTAAAGAAAGAGAAAAAAAATGGAAAAGAAACACCTATAAACTATTAACATTATTAGCAGGGTCATTTAAAACATGTGTTTGTTTTTCTCATGCATCTTTTAGATATTCTTTAATACATGTATCAAAAATTAATCCAAGAGTGGAATTTGTTGAGAAAAGATCATCAAGCAAATAATGAATTTTTAGATGTGGTGAACCATTGGAGAAATTTTCCCAATATGTAAATTATTTTTAAATAGAGCAATTTTAATTTCATGGAAGGTATTAGCCCTAATATTATAAAATTGTGGGCATTCTAATAGAAAGTGCTCTATATTTTCCACAGAGTTACAGTTACATAATTTGCAAAAACCTGTGCACCCATCATACCATGTACTTTTCCTACCTTTTAAAGCTAAACAATTAGACCTTGCTTTAAACTTAAGGCTGATTCCTTTGAAGTCAGTTTTATCATATCATATAGATATGTTCCAAAAAAAGGTTTGTTTTTATATCTGAGTTGTAATCCCATATGGTAGATTAATTAAGCTGTCAGACTCAAGGCTCAACCATGTTCATAATCTTCAGAGGCTTCATCATCAGCTATTGTCAATCCATTCCTGGACAAATGTTTCAGGATGTCGACGCCAAATCAATCTTTTTCTCTTACTGTTTTGCTATTTCACTCTTTCCCAATAAATGCTCATCTCTTAATCTAGTTTATGTTGTTTTTCCCTTGTTCGTTCTGTCGTCCATAGGGTCTGTTACTGTTTGTTTGTACTCCTGCTGCCTACAAGTTCAACAACCAGAATGAAAACCATTAAGCCAAACCACATTTGTTATTGTTATTAATATTAATAATAATAATATTAATTTTAATATTATTATATTTATTTGTATTCATTCCTCTCCTTTACTATAGCTTGGCTAGGCCTTTCTACTACTGTCGCCAGTGTGTGGCTATTTTATATCCGGTCGATAAAACCTGAGTACCGTACGATATCTTGATAATAGCGTAAGGCACATATTTTTCGACATTAAATGCTGAATACACTGGCTCTACTACTTGGCTAGTAGTAGTAGTAGTGGTAGTGGTAGTGGTAGTGGTAGTGGTAGTGGTAGTGGTAGTGGTAGTAGGTAGTAGGTAATAGGCATAGGCATAGGCATAGGCCCTAGGTTGTGTTGTCAGTTTCTGTGGTTATTTTTTATGATTGTCAATGCATAGGTCCACGTACGTAGGTAGACGATAGAGCCTGATATACTTTTTTTGCGATAATTTAATTACAATTCCCCCTGACGAACACTGATGAACTGGCTGTAAAGATAGCCAAAATACAGGCTTTTGACCCGCTCGAGTTCTCATAATATTTATACCCTCTTCGCAGCCGCTGGTTCCTAGGATGATTTCTTGGTAATTGTTGATAGTTAATATTATCATGCCGCCCTCTATAGTTTAACTACTCCATGTCGTCCATATTGGTGGTTGTTGTACGGGAGTGAAGCTGTGACAATAAAGGAAATCGCACATGACACTTTAAGCTGACTCTCTTTATTCAGTCTATTTACATGGTGTCAGAATATTGCCGAAATGCCCACGTATGGTAAGATAGGCGAGTTCTGTTCCAAAACAGAGCGGTTTGAGACGTATGTTCTACGATTAGACGGATACTTTGAGGCGAACGACATCGAGGACGCGGACAACAAATGTGCTATTTTCAATACCGTCGTTGGTCCATCTACATTCAGGCTCATCGAATCGATTGTTTCTCCAAAGAAACCAAGTGAGGAATCTTTTGACAATATCTTTGACTATAATTCCAGGAGCAGACTAAGTGGCGAAACCGTTTCATCTTACTTGGCCTCCCTCCGGTCACTCGCAAAATTTTGTGAATATGGTCAATCTTTGAATGAGATGTTACGTGACAGGTTGATATGTGGAATAAATCTCGTACCGATTCAAAAAGCCCTGTTAGCAAAAGGCGATTCCTTAACACTGGATTCTGCTGTACAACTTGCTCAGGCTATGGAATCAGCTGAAGAGCACACCGCACGCATAGGCCTAGCACAAACGAACCAACAACAGCACCAGCAAGTTGATGCTATAAAATATAGGCCTAATAACATTAGTAAACAACCACATTCCAATACATCCCAACATGAAGCCCGCCAACCGGGACCCCGCCAACAAACCCCAACACAGCGTACCTGCGGAAATTGTGGATTTTTTCACCGATCAAGACCGTGCCCAGCATACGGCAAGCAGTGTTATAACTGTCAGAAATTTAATCATTTTTCAAAATTATGTAGGTCAGCCCGGTTTGCTACCCAAGTTCACACCATACACGATGGCAGTCTGGTCAGTGAAACTTGTGATTCTGAATTCCATATAACTGAGATTGGTGGTACACTCTATACAAATAACGAAGTAACAGTAGACGCATACATAAACAACTTATTGACAAAATTCAAACTTGACACTGGGGCAAAGTGCAATGTAATGCCTCTACAGGTACTGCATGAAGTTGACAACACTGCCACAGCTTCATTGACATGCAGTCCAGGAACTGTTGAACTACTTTGTACTATTGCTGGTACACAACGTAAAATCAAATTTAGAGTTGTCGACAAGCACACATCTATCATTCTCAGTCTCCAGGACTGTTTATCATTCAATCTATTAACGTTTAGCTCCGACGTCAATGAACTCACTGATGATCCGTTTGTACAGAACATTGTGACAAGCTACAGTAAACTCTTTGATAACACAACGGTAGGCAAACTGCCTACAACCTATCATATCACCATTGACAATCTTATTGATCCTGTTGTACGTCCTCCCAGAAAAGTTCCCTTTGCCATGAAAGCAAAAATCATACAAGAACTCAAACACATGACAGACCAAGGTATCATTGCACCAACTACCGAACCAACTCCATGGGTTTCATCTATGGTGGCCACATACAAAAAAACAATCCAACGATATCCGTTTATGCATAGATCTGCACGATCTTAACTGTGCTATACAGCGTCCGCACTATCCTATGCGAACAGTTGAGCAGATTGCAGCCGAACTCAACGGTGCTATTGTCTTTTCAATGCTAGATGCTAAATCCTCATTTTGGCAGGTGCCTCTGGATGAATCATCCTCAAGACTGACGACTTTCAACACCATTGTTGGTCGGTACAGGTTTCTTCATATGCCTTACGGCATAAACTGTGCATTGGAAGTATACAATTGAAAACCTATTTCCTAATCTTCCTTGTTTCATAGCTGTTGACGACATAATGGTTTATGGTAAAATCCAGGCGGAGCATGATACCAACCTGGAGCAAATACTTCAGAGAGCATGTGAAGTAAACTTAAAGCTCAATCTATCAAAGTGTAAATTCCGCGTAAGCGAAGTAACATACTTAGGTCATATCTTCTCGAAAGATGGCATGAAGCCAGACCCAAGGAAGGTCGACGCAATCATCAACATGCCTCAACCCACCGACATAACAGCAATCCAGCGTTTCCTCGGAATGGTTAACTATCTAGCTAAATACATACCAGGCCTAAGCGACATAGCAGCGCTGCTCAGAGATTTAACTAAGAAAGAAATCGCATGGATTGGCATGACCAGCACGAACACGCATATGCACAAATCAAGCAAATGATCGCTACCGCCCCAACATTTCGATATTTTGATATACGCAAACCAGTGACAACAAATTTAGAGACTACATATATGGTCAACCAGTCACTGTCGAAACAGACCACAAACCGCTTATAACAATATTGAAGAAACCTATGCACGCCATTCCAGCACGCTTACAGAGAATGCGCTTGCAACTTCACAAATACGACATCAATCTACTGTACACACATGGAGCAGAACTGTATGTCGCAGATACTCTCTCTCTCAAGAGCACCACTTATGCCTAACAACACCAGCACTAAAACTGATGAACACTTTTAGGTTATGATCATCGAACGCATTTCAGCGTCCAAATGCATAGAGCTACAGGAAGCGACCAATGCAGATCCACAGTTACAGCTACTCGCAGCTACTATTCGACATGGTTGGCCAGACAAAAGCTATCGCGTCCCTATAGACATACGCACTTACTTCCCCTTTCGAGATGAACTCACTATAAGCGACGATGGTCTAATTTTAAAAGGCCTAAAGGTTTCAATACCAAAACCTCTTCAACCGACATATACACAGATACTTCATGAAGACCATCCCGCAGCGGAAGCGACAAAACGCCGAGCACGAGACATAGTTTATTGGCCTCGGATGAATGCTGACATAGAACACTATGTCAATTCATGTGCCATTTGCAACAGTATGAAGCCACACTCGCAGAAGGAACCCCTCCAGAGCTACACTGTTCCAAAAGCGCCCTTTGAAACTATTGGCATTGATCTCTTTCAATGGAATGGTATAAACTACTTAGCATTAGGTGATACATATTCCACCTGGTTTGATTTCTGTTCTCTTTCAGACACAACCGCACGTACCATAATTTTAAAGCTCAAAGGCAAATTTGCAACGCACGGTGTACCACAGACAATTATAAGCGATAATGCACAGCAATTTGCTGGCCATGAATTTCAGGCTTTTGCAACAAACTGGAACTCCATCCATATTACCAGTAGCCCTAACTACCCGCAATCGAATGGTCTTGCGGAAAGTGTAGTAAAACGTGCCAAACACCTTCTTGAAAAGACCAAACGCGAAGAACCTCCTGAACCTCCGTAATGTTCCAACCAGCCCCACTTTGGGTTCACCCCCACAACGTCTCATGTCATGACGTCTCGGGACACCATTACCAGTTTCCAAATCACTCTTCATCCCAAAAGTCATTAATGTCACCAGAAGCTTAGAACAACGTCGCCACACTGTAAAACAATCGTATGACAAACAAGCACATGCTCACTGTGTTTTTTTTTAAGAATAATTCCTGGACGTTAATTGGTAACTGCACATGCACATTGCTTAGTTCGGAATTCCCATTTCTTCGTAAAATTGAAGATATAAATGGGATAAACATATTTTAATTATGAAATTTAAATCCCTAAAATATATAACTCCTGAATACATTTTTTCTAAATTTAAATTTACTAATGCTGTCCATTCCAAAAATACACGAAATCAATCTTCAAATACTCTAATCATCCCAATCTGGAACAATATCCAAGGAAAAAGAACTTACCTTTTATACAGGGCATGTAAATTATGGAATGAGCTCCCATTAGATATCCGCTGCAAATTTGACACCCTTACTTTAAGAGCATTTAAGAATTGTATTTAGTTACCTCCTTTCTTGATTTTTATATATTTATTTGTTATTTATTTTGTGTTGTGTCTGGACCTCTTGGGAGACCAGTACTTATGTATTGAAAGAGTACTTCCAAAATAAAGAAAGATTTGATTTGATTTGATTTGATTCGTAGTAAAAGCTACTGCTACCTACAGTTTCTTAATGATTATTTCCTCTTGATCGTTACAGCCTAAAGGTGCGGTGCGAAAAGTTCAAGGTTAAAATTATTTCTATTGATCTCATGATGATGTTTCAATAAAACGAAGACGACAAAACAGAAATTACATTAGGCGAGGGCATGTCTGGACTAGTCCTGCTTTGAATTGGGTAGGCAGTAGGCCATCCCAACTATCGACAAATAAAAGGCAAAATATGTTGACCATCCAATTTTTTCATCTTCACTTGGTAGAGAATTTAGCCGTATCTTTAAACAAAGCGAACGGTAATACAGTAATATAAATCTGTCCTGTCCTGTAATGTTTTATTTGGATTACTTTCGACAATTATGAAGTTAAAAACAACTCAAAAAGTTAATTTTAAAGATGCTTTGGTTGATATTATGAACCAATTAGGCCTAGTAGAATTCCCTCGAAAACGAGACTGGTCAAACTACAGATGTTATTGCAATCAACATGAGGCAAGTCAATTAACAGGAAGTTCTATCGGATTAGAGCCTTGCCAATCCGGTCATTTGTCTGTGTTAGCTTGCGGGGTGAAGCACTTGTTTTCTATCAGGTGACCCTGTTCATATGGTCGGTGTCAGCCTCATAACAAGCGCTTGTTTGATAACTATGATATCACCGGTGTAACTTACACTGTCTGAACAAGGCTTTAATAAAGTGGTACATGACCTTCCAGCTACAAAGCCATGTTGGGTAGTAGATGCAAGTTTGTGTTGGTTCAGATTATTCATCAAATGATTGTTATCTATCTTTCCCAATAGCTTATACCTACATCAGTTGCACTAATCAATTGTACAGGAATCATGTTAGCTTTCTTCCACTAGCTGGAAAATTCACCAGACAAGAGAGATAAAATTAAAAAGTCAAGAAAGGCGTTCTCAAATATTGCACTTAGTTTAAGCATGGTTGATGTTATGCCATCGTATCTAGGAGCAGACCCAGATTCCAGTTTGTTAATGAGCTTAAGCACTTCATACTGGTTTTGTGCGAATTTCAGAAAGAGGAAGAAGACCAACGTGATTATTGTAATTATTGCAAACAAGTATAAAATAAATACTTTCTCAGTTATTTTATTCATCTGATGATATAATGTAAAAAATACATTTTGAATATTAAGTCACACATTATTTTACATAATTTGTCTTTGTATAATTGTAAAACTTCTATGCATTTGGTCATTTATTTTAAAATTGGCGCATTCAAATGTTTTGTATGTTAGTAATCATCATTAATGGAAAATTTATTAAGGAAATATGGAGGCAAAAAACTAACCCAAGTAGCTACAATGTGGAAAAATTCACATAAGGGAAGTGGGCATGCAACTCTCTGAAAGCGATTTCAGTTTTAACATAATGTATAAACATAAAACTTACAGATAGTAATTGCAGAAAATAAAACTGATTATTTATAATCCCTAGGGTGTTCTTGAAGACTTTTAAACTTACCACAAATCAAGTTACTATCATTAATTACTATGATAATCATTGACAATCATTTATATCTTTTTCATAGTTATTTTGTTTTATTTTTGTATGTATTACTAGAGCTAAAATGAATTCTTTTGAAGGCACGGTATTTGACAAATTTGATACAAAATCAAAAATAATAAAAGCAATTAACAGAATATGTATCTTAGCCTACAAAATCGCAACAATAATAATATAATAACCAATAAAACATACAAACACTTGCCTTCCAACAAGTGTTCATATTTCTTACATTTTTAAATTAAATTGTACATTGTTTATTAATACAATTATGATGAGGAAGCTTATTGCATAGTATGTATACAGTAATAGGTGGAGGAACATGTCGCGAAGTGACATCCGAGGGCAGATTTCGGAGATGGTGTCCCCCTCCCTACCTAAGAAAAAAATGAAAAATAAATACTGTAAAATGCCATTTAACAGTGAATGTACGTTGAACCATGTCCATGGAGTTTAATCCACGGATGTTTGAAAAAAATGTTTTAATAAACGTATTACTTGATACAGTATATATTTATTTCAATCATTAAATAGATTACTGAATCATTGTTATCTCTTCAAAAAAAGATCATGCGCCGGAATTGGTCCATTTGCATTATTTTTAGTTTACTCACATCATGACCACCATACATACATACGAGGATGCGAATGCTCTCTGCATCCACACTGATCCACCTCACACTGTACTTTGTAGAGTGGCTCGTACATACAGCATGGCCTTTCTCTCAAGTCAACTGTCAATGTTGTTTTTGTTAGTAACGACGTGGGAAAATGTGTTAATAAAACATTAAAACTACTTGGTTGACTTATACTTTAATCGTGATGATTAAATACAATATCTTACAAAAAATAAACGCATATTCTATGCTATATTATGACGGACGAGGCTCTTTACTTCTTGCTTCATAGCATACTTCGTATATCCGATCACGTGTTCTCTACAAAAGTGTCTTGTTCAGATGTTCTTTGCCGATGCTTGATCGGGGCTAGACCCGATTTAACTGTGTTCTTTGGTTGGACATTGTTTGTGACAATGTGTTTGAATAAAATTAAAATTGTATTTCCTTTGTTGTGATGATTTAGTATCGTACAAAATATAAGCTTAGGCCTAGAAGAATACTGTTTTAATTTTCGTGGTAAATGCTAGATTTAGAAGTGAATTTCTCCATGTTTTTGGTGTAGGCTTCATACACAGTACTGCATGCATGTCTTCAATTGTGTGGTCATTCAAAAATGATGCGAGTAGAGTGAAAAGAATACAAATTTCCAGCTCATCACTTATATTTTGAAAAGTTAACACAATAAATAATAAATTTATTAAATGATTGAAACGCATACTACTGTACCAAGATAAATTATGTTTATTAATAAACCAGCAAAATTATATTATGAAAGTCAAACCAAGCCTGCTCTGTGGTTCACGAATCACGATACGTCGTTTGCGTATCTATAACATGTATAAAATAAATCCCGAATAAACAAGCAATATATAAAATGATGTATAGTTGAAAAACTAGTAAAAGTGGCTTTCCATACAAAGTAAACTTTGCCCTCAACCATGTGAGTAGTTTCGTAACAGAGTGGAAGTACAAAAATAAAGAGTTTGGCCTTGTTTAATCGTTTTAATATGGCGTATTTTCTTCACATGTGTTAAGACTTCAATTTACTGTTGTATTAGCCAATGAGAGTAATATCAGGAAGATATAACTTAATGAAAATGTTGGTATAGCTATTAAAAAATAATACTGTATAGCAATGTGTCGTAATTAGGCGTGATCTACAAATTATCCCCAACGACAGAAACGGGTCAAACACGTTTACTATTGTTATATGACAAGCTCCCAAACGCGTCTGTGAAATGCCGTTTGCAAGCTTGTCGTTCGAGCCGTTTATTCCGTTTGGAAGTTAACTCCTCCCTTTTTCATATGGCTGACTGCTCGTGAATGGCAAAATGTTAAACGCGTTCAGCGAAATTTGGAATTTGATCGTGATTTAAACAACTTCAAAACTTGCTGTGTCCCTACCGTACCTAGGCTATGTCCAATGTTTCTTGTATTTTAGTAGGCTAGGCCCTACCGTTACCTGTAGGTTTTATAGAAGAGAAAGCAATCGCCAGTAACCTTGCAACCCAGATTATATTGTGCGATGTTCGAATTGACCTATCAAAACAAGTACCTTTTGCCCAACTTTCTAATTCCCACGTGCCTGCACAGCCCGCACAATACAGCATGTAAACACTGACCTGGATCAGCCGCAGTTGAAGAAGTTCGTTGTGGCGATCACGTGATGCCACGTGATATCGCATGTAGCACAACGTATGCTACGGCATTGTGTTTTACTTTGTAGGCTATATGAATTTAATACATGTTGGTATTATTATATATATTATTATGTTTTAAAAATGGTTAAACCATGGCACATGTTTATATTGCTGAACAAGGCAGTCGGCTATTCCCTTCTTGCGGATGAGCAGCGCGTTTAAATTCCTAAAGGCGGCGTTCAAAGAATCAGATCAGACACTAGACCGTCTACATTCCTGAGTTGGCGGAATGCTACGGCATTGTGTTTTACTGTGTAGGCTATATGAATTTATATATATTGTTATATATATTTTTATTATATATATATATTTATTATATCGTGCGATGTTCGAATTGACCTATCAAAACAAGTACATTTTGCCCAACTTTCTAATTTCCACGTGCCTGCACAGCCCGCACAATACAGCATGTAAACACTGACCTGGGTCAGCCGCAGTTGAAGAAGTTC